CTAAAAAATGAAGATAACCAAATAAAATTAAAAAACTTTGAGGAAATAAGAGACCACATTTCAGACTGGTTCCAATACCATCAGTTATTTGAAAAATTTAAATCTGACAAACAAAAGGGGTTCTCACCAGAAACTTCCCGATTTGAATCTGATCTTCTAAATTCTAAAACAAAAACTCTTTCCAAAACTTACCGACTCCTCCTTGACTGGACAGTCAAGGAGGAGGAGGTAACAGTGGCAATGGTGAGGTGGTCCCAGGATTTTGGCCACTCAATAACCATGGCCCAATGGGAAAATTTATGGAAGATCACTTGGAAATTCACAAATTGTTACACGATTAGAGAGAACTTTCAAAAAATGCAACATCGATGGTATTTAACACCATGGAAGCTTTCAAAAATGTATAAAAATGTATCAAGTAATTGTTGGAGATGCGGAGATTCAGGAACATTCTACCATATGTGGTGGATATGTAGGAAAATACAGGTATTCTGGGAGAGTATACATGCAGAACTGCAAAAAATGCTAAAGATCTCTTTCAATAAAAAACCAGAGGCCTACCTCCTGGGAATAACAGATTTGGATATTCCACAAAAGAGGAAGGGTATCTTTTTATATGCGACGGCGGCAGCAAGAGTTTTGATCGCAGCAAAATGGAAGAGTAATGAAATCCCCTCTATTCAAGATTGGATCCAAAAGCTGACAGAATATGCTGAATTAGATGGTTTATCAGAAAAAATAAATAAATCAAAACAGGAATTTGTTTCTAAATGGGAGGTTTTTAAAGAATATCTGAAAAATACCGTAAATTTCGCTCCATAACACGCAGATTTTTCCTCCTAGAAAGTAAGGGGAAATGTCTGTGCGTGTTATGGAGCGAATGCCTACAGATGGCGGGGGAATCTGCTGCAGTTGTGAGCAGTCCGTGGCTCGCTTTGAAACAGCAAGGCGGGTGTAAGCGGCTCCTGTCAGCTAGCGGAGCCGGGGAGGAGGGAGAGAAGCAGAGCGGGAGTTGGCTGCTTTAAAACAACCCCGTCCTCTATGTCCCTCTCTCCTCCCCACTGAGCTGCTAAGTAGCAGCAAAGCTTTTCAGCCAGACTAGCCGGGAGGAGGGAGAGAAGCAGAGCGGGGTTGGCTGCTTTAAAACAACCCAGTCCTCTGTGTCCCTGCCTGCAGTTTTCTGCTGTCCGATTTTGGATTAGCCACTGTAGGGGCTGTGTGTGTGTGTGCTTGAGCTATCGTTCTCCTCCTCCTGCTTCCCGTTCACTCTCCCAGCACCCCTGCGCTCTCCTCCGACTTTAGAATTGACACTCTGTGTGTCTGTGTGTGTGTGTGAGGGCTCCTTCTCCTGCTTCTGTTCACTCTCCCTGCGCCCCTGCGACTTTAGAATTGACACTCTGTGTGTCTGTGTGTGTGTGAGGGCTCCTTCTCCTTCTCTTGCTTCCCATTCACTCTCCCTCCGACTTTAGAATTGACACTGTGTGTCTGTGTGTGTGTGAGGGCTCCTTCTCCTTCTCTTGCTTCCCATTCACTCTCCCTCCGACTTTAGAATTGACACTGTGTGTCTGTGTGTGTGTGTGGGCTCCTTCTCCTTCTCTTGCTTCCCGTTCACTCCCCCAGCACCCCTGCGACTTCCAGCGCCCTGCGACTTTAGGGCCAGTTCTCTCTCTGCGTGTGTGTGTTTTGACCTCACTGCGCTTGCTGGGGGAGAGTGTTGGTCGCAATTTTTCTTGATTTGTCTCAGAGTGGTTAATATCATGGTTTCCTTGCCGGAGGAGGGAGAGACGCAGAGCCTGCTTGTTCTAAAGGAGCAAAGCCGGAGAGGAGCCTCTCCTGCATTATTAGCCGCATCCTTCTCCACACACACACCCCACGCGTGCTCCTTGTGAGTTCTTTTCCTTCCCTCCCCACTTAAAACGTGGTTACAAAGCACGGATCCACATGGATCCTCAGGATTTTTGCACTAGGTCACCCCAAATTCACCATCAGATCACATAGCATATCCATGGCTGCAGCCTGCACCAAAAAACACACACGCACCCACTGTTTCATGGGGCCGCAATGGCGCAAAAACGTGGTTACAAAGCACGGATCCACATGGATCCTCAGGATTTTTGCATTGGGCTACCCCAAACTCACCGTCAGATCACATGTCTGTGGCCACAGCATGAAGCACAAAAATCATACATCCACTGTTTCGTTTAGAATATTTTTTTCTTGTTTTCCTCCTCTAAAAACTACGTGCGTGTTATGGTCAGGTGCGTGTTATAGAGCGAAAAATACGGTAAATATAGTAGTTTAAATTCTGTTGCAGCATTCGAGGAACTTCAGTAATAGTTGCAAGGTAGATATAAGAAATTACATTTAATGAGAATAAGTTTAATTATGAAAAAAAAGTGTATTGACAATAAGTAATATGAATTGTTTGCTAAGAATATTAAGTGTCGATGGTTATTTTTGTAATTTGTGTGTAATTTGGTATTTGTGTTTTTTGTTTGTTTGTTTTTCTTGTTGTATAAATAAAAATTAAAAAAGAAAAAGAAAAGCATCGGGGAGAGTATCGCACCCTGAGGTACTCCACACACCAAAGAGTGGCGCGATGACAATTCCCCCCCAAGCGCCACCCTCTGTCCCCGACACTTTCCTGGGAGTAAGCTCCAGAGAACATACTGGGCCTTTCATCTGAGTAAATGTTTTGATTATTTATGTAAGGTAATTTGTCTTCAACCAAGGGTCCCAGGGCAGCACAAAATAAACATTAAAATCAAAATAAATAGTAAAAGTTTAGAAGAAAATATCCAAACAACATCATAAAACCAGTAATGCTGTAAATTGGATGAACTCTTAGCAGACTAAGAGTCTGCTAAAACTAACAAGTGAAGCAAGATAGGGAACAGTAGTAGTTATTTTCTTATGCCCATTTCCAAATTCCTACACTATCCTGAAGTTGGTTACAGCTATCTATTCTCTTTAGAGGAAAAATTGATGACATGAGGCACGTAGCCTCCCAACCCTAAAGGTAAAGGTAAAGGTACCCCTGCCCGTACGGGCCAGTCTTGACAGACTCTAGGGTTGTGCGCCCATCTCACTCTAGAGGCCGGGGGCCAGCGCTGTCCGGAGACACTTCCGGGTCACGTGGCCAGCGTGACAAGCTGCATCTGGCGAGCCAGCGCAGCACACGGAACGCCGTTTACCTTCCCGCTGGTAAGCGGTCCCTATTTATCTACTTGCACCCGAAGGTGCTTTCGAACTGCTAGGTTGGCAGGCGCTGGGACCGAGTGACAGGAGCGCACCCCGCCGCGGGGATTCGAACTGCCGACCTTTCGATCAGCAAGTCCTAGGCGCTGAGGCTTTTACCCACAGCGCCACCCGCGTCCCTTCTCCCAACCCTAGGATTCTTCAAATGAAAAGAAAGGGATGTTCCTCACAGTGAGAGAAGTCATACCTTTGATGGCTTAGCAAGTGAAACACAATCGTGTGTGTGTGTGTGTGTGTGTGTGTGTGTGTGTAATAGCAGTTGATGGAAAATGATGGAACTTTTTTCAGAATCTTTGCCTATGTACTGTACAGTCCTCCCAGATCTAGGCCTTGTTGTTATCAGTCTGAAGGCAGAGGGAAGGAGGAATGTATCATCACTACATCAACAATGGGGGGGGGGTCATTCCCTCTTCCACTACCCTTACCATTTGAAGTGAATGCATTATTTTTCTAAACTATTTGCTTATGCGCATATGTATATAAATGCATAAAGCAAATGGTTTGGAAAATACGTAAATGGAAAGCTCCCTTGCAGTTCAAAGCAGGGAGGACAAGACTCTCAAGGGTGTGTGCCATTAGGCAGACACTTTCCAATCTCAGTTCCCTTCAGGTCCTTCAGACTACAAGAGAGGAAAGCTTTCGCTGTTCAAAGTACTGACAGGGAAATTGGCAATGTAACGCAGATATACAACATATGTATTTGCATGTGTGTTGGAGATGCATCTGTTTTACCTCATTGCAAACTGGATGAGAAGGGAGAGAGAGAGATGTGCAATTGTAGCTAATAAATGGCAAGCCCAGTCATGACATAAGTTAATTCCATTCATGTTACAAGCTCTAGTGACGGACATTAAAAGCATTGCAGATAGTAACCATGGTCGCAAGCCATCACTTTATTGTGGGAAGAATGCTTCACGTTACTGTATCCCATTGTAAAATCTAATCGGAGATGCACTGTGTTGCTATTAGCTATGTATCCTTATGAACTGCTCTACATCAGTTTCCATAGTTGTTCTAAAAGGTGCAATGGAATCGTCTTAAAGTTTCTATGTCAAGTTTGACAGATTGACATTTCTGCACGTATTTCTTGCCCTCTGGCCTCAAAAAGTCTAAGAAAGATACTCTCTCCACTATATACAGCTACGAATATTTACTCCCTGAGATATACATAGGAGTTTGTGTTTCCTTTAGGTCTCTAATTTCAGAGGGCTGGATCCAGCTAATGGGTCCTGCTAGCAGAAGTCCACACAAGGACTTCCACTGGAGCAACTGAGGTTATCCCCCACTCCGCTCCCGATTGGAAAAAGTTATCACATTCACCTAAGAAACAACTTTGTTCTCACTATTTCTTTGCATAAAGCCGTAATTTTCACCTTTCTGCTGACAACAAATTCATTTCTTTCCATCACAATATCCTTTGAGTCAACATTCATTCAGCAATACCAGAATAGTCTATTGCGACTTCTGCTCAACGAATGCAGTTTGCACGTTGGGAACTATATGTATTTTAACTGGGAATATGACTACCACCAATTCTAAATGAACCCACTTCTTGCGGAATTTCTGTACAATTGGTCAACTTCTGGATGCAAAGCAAATTGAACCCAGTAAGAGATAAAAGGATCGCAAGCCATTTATAATTAGCAATGACTTCCTAGTCTAGTATGTTTGACTCCGACATTTGTTTATTTTTTTCCCTTGTTTTCCTCTTTTCCCACCCCTCCTGCTTCTTCTCCTAATAGAAGTGACCGGAATGCAGTGCTTTAGAAATTCAGGTTCAGTGATTGTAAGTAACTAGTTCTTTTGTTTCTCATTTTCCGGGAAGTGCTGTTGTTCTGTTGAAACAGATAAAAACAAGTGAAAGCCAAGTTCGTCAGGCAGCAGAAAAATTCTCTTTTTTTATATATTGTCACATCTTCAAAACTGGTACCCATGGTCTAAGAACCTGTTTAAAAATATGAAGAACGTATTTGTGACCCAGCCTGACACTGGGAAGAGGACAGTTGCACAGTTCATGGGGAAGTTTTTTAAATTAGCACTGGAGCTGGAAATATAGCTGTGTGGACCATGCCTGGTGTTTTTTGTGAACCCTGACAAGGCAAGGTACGAGTTACCACCAGGAGTATCCAGCACAGTATCTTCAGCAAGATTCCAGCATATTCTGTTTTACAAAATATTAAGCCCATTGGATTCATTTAGCACCCCTATCTGAAGATTTATTTTTTCAGCTTAATTACATGAGGCCTGTTGTTCACATACAGATTTGTGGCCAGAGATCTACAGTGTGTTTATTTTGTCTGGTCTCCCAATCCTTACCTAGTCCCTCACTAGGTAGGGGATAAACTAGGTTCAGTCCCTGGTATTTCTAGCTAATAATTTTGTAGGGTTGGAAAAATACCTTCTCTGACCAACACCTGGAGGAGACAGCACTAAATGAAACAATAATCTGACTCAGTATGAAACAACCTTATACGTACCAGCTAGGAGTTCAAACTTTGCCATAACAAAGGATTGGCATGTACAGGATTGTCAAGCAAAAATTGCTGATGACAATGTTTAGAAATTCCACAGTTATAATCTCTTCCATTTCAAAAATTCTGAATATGTATCAACTTCACATTAAACACATCCCCAAAGGATTCGTTGTGTAACAGCATTTACATCTTAAACAAGATATATGAGGGCAAGTTTTTTTTGTGTGTTTTTAAAGACCCTAACAAGCTACTTCCTAGTAAGTGTTTTGGATAAGGGTTACAGTTTGTCTAAGATCCCTTCCATCTGTTGCAAGACGCCTGCTTTTATTTGTATTTCCCGGTGCTGCCTTATCAAACATTGCATGAATCATCCCCCATTTGTTTGTCCTTGTCTCCTTTTTATTGTTCTTGTTCCTTTCCCTTCAATTATTAAAACACCATGTTGAATGGAAGGTTAGGATTACACTGCGATTCACACTTGCCCTATCTTATTAAAACAAATAAACCCAGCAGTTATATAATTTAAAACTGCTTGAGCTGTGGATCAGAGATGCTTTTATCAACATTGGGATGAAGGGGTTGTGTGCGTTTGGGCACAGCTGTTCTTTGAAAAATGGCAAACCTCATTAGATTACAGGTGCCTACAAAAAAAGAACACTTCTGAGGAAACAAAATAGCTGCCGTTTTTCAATAAGAGTTTCTTCCTAACAGGAAATGCACTTGATTGCATCCTTTAACGTACGTGAGCAGGTTTGTTTTTATTCAGAGAAAAAACATTCCATTTTATTTGATGTATATTTCATCAGCCCAGTGAAGCTAAGGAACCTATCTGCATGGAAACATACAGGCTTCCCTTGATGCAAGGCGCTTTGCAGGATGCTTTGCAGGGTTACGCATGTAAAGATTTGCTGTACATTCATCCACTAACTGCAGGCACATCAGCGCATCAGGATGAGGATGAGGAGCAAGGTTCTGAAGTTAGGTCCCTCCTCCTCCTCCTCCACATCAATTTTCTATGCTAAAAAGCTGACAAAGGCCGTTCTTTTGATATATCCAGTGGAAGTCCTAGCTGCGATAGACTAGCAACTGAACAAAACCAGGGCTGGCTACCTGGTGCATAGGTTGTCAAGCTTTAGGGCTAAGACCCAAGGCTTTTTTATTTGCCCCAAGCAAACTGATTTTAACTACTATTCATTTATTTTATGCTGCTCTGTGGTTCTTGGCTTGGATTATTTGTTTTATTCTTTCATTCCTATTTGTACACCACTTTGGAAGGTAAAGGGACCCCTGACCATTAGGTCCAGTCGTGACCGACTCTGGGGTTGCGGCGCTCATCTCGCTTTATTGGCCGAGGGAGCCGGCGTACAGCTTCCGGCTCATGTGGCCAGCAGGACCAAGCTGCTTCTGGCGAACCAAAGCAGCGCACAGAAACGCCGTTTACCTTCCCGCCGAAGCGGTACCTATTTATCTACTTGCAGTTTGATGTGCTTTCGAACTGCTAGGTTGGCAGGAGCAGGGACCGAACAACAGGAGTACACTCCGTTGTGGGGATTCAAACCGCCGACCTTCTGATCGGCAAGTCCTAGGCTCTGTGGTGTAACCCACAGCGCCACCCGCGTCCACCACTTTGGAAAGTCACATTTAAAAGAGGCATAACATTACTTTTAAAAATGGAATAGCAAAGTAAATAGAACTATGGGGCCACTTCATTGACCCTGAAATATGCAAGCTCCCCCGTAACATGTTCCTATCCACCCAAATCAGTCCCTCGCACCCGACACTTGCACTGTTTACCTGGCAATGGTGAAATGCTGCTGGTGGATTGCTACTGTCGTCACACAGAAAGGGAAAGTTATGCTCCCAGCAGCAAAGCAAATGGATGAAGATGGGAAGCTGAGAAAAGCAAAGGATTTGAGCTCTTAATCATTAATGCGGCTGATTTGTGGCAGACGGGACATATTTTATAGCACACCATTCAAATAAATTAATCAGGACATATTTATGTTATGAAGGAGTCTTAACATAGGCTGTAATCAAAACCTTCACATAAAGCTTTATTATTATTATTATTATTATTATTATTATTATTGATTCCTTAAGTTTACAAAAATACGTGCACTGTCTCTTTTTTCATTTCTACCTACAGCTTTTTAAAAGTGAGTTCAGACATGCTGCCATTGCAAATGCTTTTAATGTTACGATTCACAGATAAACGGGTTGACAGTGATATTTACCCGCAGTGTCAGGCCTGAGCAACTTGTGACCAGATGCAACTAGCCAATCAAACATGCACCGTGGTCTGCCAGCTGCTTGACAGTTCACCCATTTATATGTAGTCCAAGGCAAATAACCCAAACAGCAAGTTTTTCAGTCCTCTCTAGTGGCTGACTTCGCATTGCTGGTGGACTATCTTGAACCGTCACAGGTTGAGCAGGCCTGATCTATGCTCATTAGATTATGTAGCAAGCATATGCCTTTTTTTGGAAGGGAAGGGAAACCAGTCCTGCATAAATATTGGCAAACGTCGTCTTTCAGAATGTGCCCTGCTGTTTCCCCCTCTTTGACATTCATGGTGGAAAAGGCCTCGCGTAGCAGGCTTTGAAAAATATACTCACTCTTCCTGCAGATTTAGAAGCTTCTGTCCTGACAAAAGATACAAATAGTTCCTTGAGACCCAATACAGATAAATAAAACATAATGGACTGAATGTAGACTACCTTTAACCCGTAGGTACAGGAATTACAGCCAATGCCTGTAATCATCAGCTTTTACCTATTCTAGATAACCAAAATTCTGATAAATACTATACAGTCTCCAACAGTTGTTTCTGGGCAGCAGTAAATAACGGCTTTGTTCTATTCTATTCACGCGGGAGAATTATATCTTGCTAAAGCAAAAGCTGGTCCAGAAAGCCTTTATTTTCAGCTTCATATTTTAAACAAACAATTTAACTCCTCCAGTTTTAATACTTCCCAGACTAGCTTTGATAGGTTTGTGGATTTCCCCCCACTCAGATCCTTGCAAATATTTTTGCCCCTTTATTTTCCCTTTATTTGGGGAAGTGTAGTGTTTAGCTAAAAGCTTTGCAGCTTCAGTTTTCAGTTTTAGATCCCTTCTCAGAATGAACAAACGAAGGCATTAGGGCTTGTCAAAATGTGAGCCGAAGTGGATGGTAGACCACTGCTGGAGAGCTGAGAGGATCTTTCAGATGGTTGAGGGTGGCAGTAATACATGAAGGAGCAAAATGGATGGAGGGCCTGTTTCTATGAAAGCGGGTGGTGAAAAGACAGGCAAGAAATCCAATCTGTGACAATGTCAATAGGAAGCATTGCTAAGACAAGCCAGCTGCAGTAAGGAAAAGGATGCATTGAAAATATAGGCGAGGAGGCGTCGTAACTTCTGTTTGCTTGGATTCCTCCCTCCCACAAGTGGAATGAAATGAAATCTGTTTTTTTAAAAAATACTTCAAAAGCCTTACATCTTGGAATGTTCTTTAAAATTAAAGCAGCAGCAGTATCTGGCAGGGGAGAAATGCACAACTTTTTGACTAAAACCTCTCCCTATTCTGAGATAATGAATTTTCAGTCTAATAGTTTTGTTAATGTGAAACGGATCCATCAGCAGTCACAGATGCTGATTGCTGCATTGGGCCACAACCTCAGTCTCCTGAATGTATCACTATAAGCACTTTCTGATCCAACATAAGTCAGTATTACACCAATCAGCTGTTTAGCAGGGAAGGGGAAGGAGGACTCAACCCATCCTTACACAGCTCTTTCTCTACAATTTATTGGTGGGATTACAGCTTTGATTACTGGGATTCTTACCCACAACATTAATTTGCGTATGCCATTTCTCAGCCCGTTAGGGATGTATATGCATAATGGAATAGGTAAAAACGGATGATCTTTTTATTTTTTAAAATGATTCCCCCCCCTGTTCAATCAGATTTTTTATATGTTTTCTGTATATCACTGGGATGATCATCTATTGCATGGCGCCTACCTGGGTGATGTTGTATCTTCCTTTTTTTGTACGTGCTTTTTAACAAGCACAGTTCTGTAATTGATATTTATGAATAGGCAGGGCCCTTCTTTTGACATACATACAGAGAAAACTATGAAATCAGCTATGTAGCATATAAAATTTGCTAAAATTAATGAAAATGTTATTATATAGATTGAGAAACCTGTTCCCTCCTTGGTAGGTTTGATGCTACAGTGGTAAGTTAAGATGTAGAAATATGCATCACTGGCTAGGAAATATATCAAATACCCACAAGTAACATGTTTTAAATCTATCATTTAAGCCTGTTTTGGGGTGGTTTAAATCACATTGATTTAATTCAGTCCATCATGGTTTGGAAGCAGAGTGTAAGTCCTTCAAAGGGGGGTGGGGAACTTTCTTGGTTTGCTTTTACATTTATAGTCTGCTTTGTACACCAAAATAGACAGTGTTGAAAAAGTGGCATATAAGCAATGAAAACAGTCAATCCAAATGGCTGAGCTGGGTGCAAATCCAAGTCACCTAAATCAGATTCCATAACCTTATCTACCAGGAAATGGTTACTTTCTCTAGAGAAGACACATAGAATTAGGGAGAGATACCAGCTCCTCTGCTTTGTGTCTTTTTCTGGCATAAAATTTCAACCCACAATGCAATTCTTTGTGCTTCTGAATCAGGTTAATTTTCTCCTAGGAGGGAGGGAAACGGGGGGGGGGGGGCTGGGTTAAAACTATTACAATCTTAGTGCTGATTTCATGCATGGTGGTCCTCTCATGTTCCATACTTCATAAATATCCCTTTTGTATTTGAAAGCCAATGGTGGAGAAGTATATATATATATATATATATATATATATATATATATATATTAATGACAATTAACAAAATTGAGAGCAAAAATTCTAGAATCATGGAATCTATTAAATATTTTGTTCTTCACTGATGTTCTGTATTCACATCTACAAGTGGACATGGGCATTTTGTTGTATGCACGTTGAACAATACACCTAAAATCCAAAGAATGGCCATAAGCTAGCATCTCCATGGACAGGGAGCGGCAGGTACAAGAAAAGAGTCTGCTTCTTCCTTGGTTGTATCTAGTGATTCCATTCCTCTGAGTAGGCTCCTAGCCTGATTATTAGGAATAACGCTCTGGCTGGTTCACTGTATTCACCGCGGGGAAGAGTGTACTATTAGGTACCATCCCTGATTAGTAAGACTGGGTGGGACAGACCAGACCAGCTCATCCTCCCTTTCCCTCACTTGTCACCCAGTCCTCACTGTCGTTTGTCCTTTAGAACTTCTCCTGCATCATGATCTGTATTTTTTGGTAAGAGCATGTAGGACATAAGAATACTGTAGTATTGCTCCTGCCATAGCAAACTAAATTCCTTTAGCACAGTTAAATGTTAAACAAAATCCACAGGAGTCCCTGTAGTTTTTCCCAGTGTTATAATAGTTATATGAGCGCAGCATCTTTTACAACTTCAGTCACTTAGAAAGGGTTGTAGCAGTCAGACTGGAGAAGTTTTGAGGAGATACTGCCAGACTTGAAGTTGTTAAGCGGGAAATGTTATCAGCATTACCAGGTGAAATATGCTTTCAGAGAGCAATGTTCAAAGCACTTTCAAACTTTTTTTGGTATTATTTATATTTTAGATGGAAGACTTTATTTGAAAACTACTGTCATGTACTGAACATATCCAGCTGAAGACCTGTGTGCTACAGTTTAAAGAACTCTGCAGCGAGACATTTGCCAGTTTGCAAGTTCTGCAAAAACAAAGGTGCTTTTCAGGCAACTTGGCCACTTCATGTATCCGTGTGCAGAGGTTTTATAACTTTTCGAAAGGGCATCTTCCGTGGGTTTCCTGGGACTTCTCCCCGTGTTGCAGAGAATGTTTCTACGACTTATGTAGCACACTTCTTCAACAGCCAGCTAACAAGAAATTTGCCTATGGACACTTCCTTGTACAGAACGGCCAGAGTAGGAGCACGACTCTCCTCTGATTCTTTGAGCACATCAAACAAAACTTCCACAGTGCCCACTTTTACACCTAAAGACTATTATGTAAACCAGCAAGACAGTATAGAAGCGAATCTTTCCAAAAGAGGCATAAGAAAATTCCGAAAAACATAAACTAGGAACAGACAAACAAAAGAGTTACACCAACACCACCCTCTTCGATTCTAGGACAAGAGTATTGTTTCATTTAAAGACCTATTTCCCCGATATCCTTTTCAAAAGACCAACACATTACAAGAAGTCAAAACAATTTTATCTTGGGTGGAAAAAAAGTACAGAATGTAAACAAAGTAATTTTTACTGTTTGCAATAGTCTCTCTAAGTAAAGATTAAAGATCTGTTATAATTTCTGATTCTAACCTGGCAGTAGTTTGGGAGGGGGAGTGACAAGATGTTGCTTCTTATTGAAACTGTTGGTCAAATGTACAGTTATATAATCACAAACCACACACAGAAGGTATTATGTATGCCGTAGAATACTAGATTTTAGGAAAACAACAATTTTAGATAATATGTTTTTGTCACCCTGTTGGTCCAAACGACACCTTTCTGATTTTAACGCATGCAGGCATGTAAATATTTGTCCTGAAGTCACAGTATTAACGAACGGGATCTGGGGATGACAGCCACTTTTATTTGTATATTGGTCAGTGCTGTGAAGCAGCACTTTTAAGAGTAAATTGTGGCTCAAGAGCTAGTCAACCCGCCAGAAATATTTTTGTATGTTAATGTCATATTACGTCAAATTTGCTGGGGAGGGGGAAACCTCAGAGGCTAAACAGACACTTGATGTTATCAGTCCAATACCACGTAGAGCTAAGTGATAAAGTTGAAGTCTTTTGTCCTTCCTGCCTGCCTTGTCTTAAGCAAGGCTGGTTGCGTGTTATTTTTACTGTCTTTATAAATGCTATGATATCTGTTCTCCACCTTTGTGCTCATAACTGGAAGCAAGCTGTGACACAGTGCTTATTACATCCTAAATTATCTTCTTTACTCCAAGTTACCCCTTTAAAGACTGCTTTGTTGACTAATAGCCACCCTACGCGCTCACATTCTTCCTCTTCAATGTTTATACGCATACGTTTTGAATAAAAATGTAATCGGAACCACTGACATGTAAAATGTCTCACCTGAAGTAATGCTGTCAAAACAACACCGCAGTCCAAATTTAAATAATTCTGGTTTTGGTGGTTTTTAAATTCTTATTTTTTGCCCTGGTAATAGTGCTTCGGAATTGGTCTTTTGTGGCCTGTCTCTTGTGATTTCACATCGAGAAATAAAACCATTTCTCCCCATAGAATTAAAAGAGGCATTAGGGACTATTTTGTCATTCAAACATTGTTACAGGATACTTCGCAATAGATATGTTAATAATAATTAAAAGACTACAGTGGTTCTCCCCCCACCCTCCAAAGTGCAGTCTTTAAAGGGTTAACAGCTGTCATTAGATGGACTTTGTGGCAAACTGTTAAATTATTTATATGAGAGAAAAGAGGGGTGTTTTTTGTTAATTAAAAAAAAAATCTACAAATGAAATCTGTAGCATCTCTTATCATTGCTCTTGCTCCTTGCAGAGAGTCACCTGTAAGTAGGCTTAATCGTTCATAAAGTGTATACTTTCCAGACTCTTTGGGTATGCATCATCGTTTGGTTTGGTACCTACATAAAGGAAATGCTAAGAATAATGAGGAAAAGAAGTATATCTTACTAAAAACAAGTGTAAATATTACAGTTCGTTAAATGCTACCGTATGATGAATTTGGGTCTCTTTTGCCCCTCTTTAGTTACACACAAAGGTTTTTCCTTTTGCCTAGATTATGAAGAAATGTTGTGTTCATGTTATTGTTTAAATGCTTTTTGTAATCTTAAGAGATATTAATGTCTAGTTGTTCTATATTATAACCACCTTTGCGCTCTATGCAAGCCCTTGGAACAGAACATTCTCATCTTCACGTAGGACCTATGAAAATTGTCTATTTTTATCTATATATTTAAAGTTTTCTAAAAATGAGAAAAAAAATTATTATGAATTTTGTTGTACAAAATCTGTACAAAAATCTGTTTTTACATCATAATGCAAGAATTGGAAAATTTTTCTATGGTAGCCTAGTTATTTGAGCCTGGTTTCAATGTGAGAACCACGTTTACTGGTATTGTATTTAATTTTTCTCTTTTTTTTCCCTCCTCCTTTTCAACAATCTGCTAATAAAACTGTCTGAAATCTGCCTGTGACTTTATTTACAGTTCATCTTTATTAAATTTTGTGAAATGTGTAACATCAGACAAATATTTACTTTCTAATGGGAGGCATCTTAAAACAACATAAGTCAGCTCTTTGCAATGCGAGAACAATGCTGAATGATTTTATTTAACATGCAACCGCTTCTACCTCTAATATGAATTACTGTGGTGAAGAGGAAAAAAAACACATCATAAAAGCACACTCTGTGGTTATTGTTTAACAAGCAGATTTTCCATATTTTGTTTCTTGCCAGCTAAGCAAACTGCCCCCATCTGCATGATTTATTTATGTACATTTCTCAGTTTATGAAGCTGTTATTTGTACCTTTCCCCCTTTATATTGTGATATTCCCAGGATTCTTATTTTACAAAGCTTTGTGCTGAATAATGTAAAGTGCACACATTGATGGAACAAAACATGTTATTTCCATAACTACAAGAGTGTGGAAGATTTTTTTTTTGCTCTAACCCACTTTCTTGTTCCTCTCTCTCTCTCTCTCTCTGTCAAATACCCATCAAGTTCTGCAAGATACTTAGAAACTTTTAAAATCTTAATGCACTTCCTCACTTAAACTGAAAACATTTTAAACATTTAAAAAGACCTTAAGAGAAGATGCACACTGCAGTCTCAACATATATGTTAAGTGAATAAGATGGGTCTTGCTTTTGTGTTGCTGTTTTCAGAGAGGGATATAGTCAAAATATGATTAAGTTTATATTCAAACATTTCTGTAAGAGTGTTAACACTCCTCCTGCTCATTTAGATATTTTATCCATTTGGATAGAAAGTCCCTGATGTAGCAGAGTAATGCCATGTGAATACTTGCCTTTTATCACTCTTAACAGAAAGGATTGGTTGCAAATCATATGCATCAAGAGTGGTAGGCTTGTCACAGCTATGGTTTTTTTCATATGGGAAGGAACATTTAACATGTGAAGCTGCTGTACTTTCACAATGGCAGGGCTTGCTTGAAATTTGAAAACAAACAAGATTAGTCCAGCTAGATGAGATTGCTTCATTATCCTGACGTTCCAGGTCCCGACTGGCAAAAAAATTCGCCTCATAACTTTGCTTTATATTCACTAACAATCATTTCTATTGTCTCAGGAAAGTAGCTCTTCCCAGCTTCAGGAAAACATCGAGATGAGTTAGCAATTGCAAGCAGCATACATAAGTAACCCTTTTCTCGTGTTGTTCCTCTCAACCATACCAAAAAGATGACAAGGAAAATGTCACCAATCCCTACCCTCCTCTCACACCTATTTGTATGTCCAGCAACCAAATAATTTCGCTCTAAGTCAAAGAATGTCATATTTAACAGGGCTGGAAATTGCAAGATGTTAGAGCCATGTAGCTATAGAACATATATATATATTCATTCAGAAAATCAGGAGGAATCAGAATGCAATCGAGGGCAGAAAGTATCTGGTAATCATGAGTAAGCTGGTCCAAAAAAGTAGATAAAGCACACCAAACTTAGGTGCTAAAACATTTTATTTTGTGTGAGTTTGGTCACACAAAACAACAAACAAATGGCAAAGTTCACTAAATACAAATTATTCCTGACTGGCTCAAGCAAAGAGTCGTTTATTGTCAGTGTCAGTTTTAGGTTGGGGTGTGTGTGTCCAAGGAGGCCCTTCTTTGGCCCCTGTCCCTTTCTCTGAATGATGCCATGCCACCGCTGCCCATTGACTTGTCCTTTTCCTCTGGCACCAATATGGGAGTAGCTGACCAGAGGGACAGCAACAGTCAACTGGTAGCTCTTTTGCCACTATTTCCACACTTGGAGAGGGCAGGTGAAGAGGCAGTGATTGCGAGGAGGAGGAAGAAGTCACATCTAGGAGGATCCTTATACACACAGAGAGAGAGAGAGAGAGTAGTTGCTCAGCCAACAATGACAAGGCTCTTTGGGTGCCCAGCAATGCCAAGCCCTGATGCCAGTTCCACTCCTTGTGCAACTTACTCTGCGGTTTCAACAAATTAGCTTTAGTGAACGCTCACTTCTTATATTAGGGCTTCCTCCTTCAGATATTTATTCACAATTTGTGAGCGAATGGATGAAAGCGTTTGGTAAGGAATTTAGATGCCCCACTTTCTCAGACTGCAGCAACTTCCTGAGGAACTGGATTGGCCCTCGTGTTTGAGGTGCAGCATGAAGGCTTTCGGGCTGAGCACGACTGATATAGAGACTAGTCACCACAATCTAATCCGAGGCAAACTGGATCCAGATTGTCAGAGCAAGGCACCAGCGGCAACTTGGGGCTAGGTTACATAAGCTTCTCCTCAGTGCTTGTATCTTACTGGTTATCTACATCTTAAACCTTGCACCTGCATTACAAAGCTATGACCAGGATTGCCAAAGTGTGTGTGTGTGTGTGTGTGTGTGGCTCTGAATAACTGCAATGTGCCCTATTACTACGAACTGTTAAACTGAGAGAGCGGGATTGTTTACAAATTACTGAACTAGACAAAACAGTCCACAAGACGCACCATAATAAAGCAAAAGTCTTGCCCCAGTACAGCAAGCATCTTTCACACTTTTCACCTATGAAAATAAGAACCCTGCTAGATCAAGACAAAGGTTCGGTATCTTCACAGTGGCCAACCCGATGCCAGGGGAAGCCCAGGACCTGAGCGAAATACTCTTTTCCTCACCTGGTATTCAGAAGCATACAGTGGAGGTAAAACATAACCACTGAGTAGCCATATTATTATTATTATTATTATTATTATTATTATTATTATTAATTAAATTTGTATACCGCCCTATACCCGCGGTGACGCTGTGGTATAAAGGGACTGCTGCGGTGACGCTGTGGTATAAAGGTATAAAGGGACGCGGGTGGCGCTGTGGGTTAAAGCCTCAGCGCCTAGGGCTTGCCGATCGAAAGGTCGCGGTTCGAATCCCCGCGGCGGGGTGCGCTCCCGTCGTTCGGTCCCAGCGCATGCCAACCTAGCAGTTCGAAAGCACCTTCGGGTGCAAGTAGATAAATAGGGACTGCTTACTGCCGGGAAGGTAAACGGCGTTTCCGTGTGCTGCACTGGCTTGCCAGATGCAACTTTGTCACGCTGGCCACGTGACCCGGAAGTGCCTTCGGACAGCGCTGGCCCCCGGCCTCTTAAGTGAGATGGGCGCACAACCCTAGAGTCTGTCAAGACTGGCCCGCACGGGCAGGGGTACCTTTACCTTTACCACCCTATACCCGCAGGTCTCAGGACAGTTACAACATAAAAGCACAATAGATAGTGTGCATGTGGCCTTAGCATATGACCAGGGCAGCACATGCAGCAGAAAGAGATGGTAGAATGGATCGCACCCTTCAAATTGCGCTGCAGGGGGTGGGGACCACTTTTGAAAGTTCCCCAACATTAAAAAAACAAAATGCAAATTTAAAGGAGAAAAATCCCTAGGACACGGTGAACTAGAATATTTCTGCCTGATACTCTGCTAGCTGCAGGATGTTTGCATACAGGGAACATTCAGACATCATCTCCCTCATCTGCAGTGTTATGGGCTGCAACAGACAATAGCTTTCTTCAGGACATGGAGCGAAAGATGCACATTTTTGTCCTTGCTAGTCCCTCCCCATCCCTGGTTTTTGCACATGGGAGCCTGCCTGTAGCAAAGCAGCCTGATCAATCACAGGTGGCTCAGAACCCCTGAGAGCTGGCAGGCTGCCCTGAGAGAGACTTGTTCTCAAATGCCCAGGCAGATTTTTTTTTGGGGGGGGGGGGATGACAGTGTCAAGGGGTGACTCTGCACTGCCTCATGCAATGAAAACTTTGTCCTGAATGCCTGAACAGGGTTATTCTAGCACCACATTCTGCTGCAAACTAGGCCTATGTAACTCATGTTTGGGGGATATCAGAAGAAATACACAAGTTCTTTCTCAGCATGTTAAAATACACTAGTTCCCTTGCACTTGTTTTTTTTTGGGGGGGGGGAGGGGAGAGGGAGGGAGGGAGGGCGAAAAGAGCAGAAAGGTTGCCGCTGTTACCCTGCAGTGCCCTAAATATGTGACATGTAAAGAGCTTTCTTCTTTAATCCAAACTGACAAAGCTTCATTTGGAATTTCATTTGAAATTAATTGTGTAAATCATTGGCGAGGTTATTTTATTAGTATCAGCAAGCATTTGGCCCATGAATTTGATTACTGAATTAATCAGATTCTTCTTATTTATTAATTCATGCTGCCAACCCTATTTTGTAGGCATTAGAAAAATAGTGTGCACGACCTTTAAATATTCCTTGTTAACTACAAACCTCTTTCTCAAGCCAGGTTGTTTTATTAATTATTATTATTATTATTATTATTATTATTATTATTATTATTATTAACAAAATGTTAAAAGAAACAAACCAGTATAAGCAAAACATTCCAAAGATTATGCCAAGAGAAGAAAAAAATATGTAAGTGAACCTGCATCCCCATTACACACTTTGAAAGGAATATATCTTTAAATGTCAAACCCACAAGATCAAGTACAGTAGCAGACTTGCAAAGTTAACAACAACCTTTCTTAAATCTTGGAGAGAGTTGGTAACATAGTCTCTGATTAACGAAGTTTGGAATATTGAGATAATGTTCAGGATAACATATCTCCCCCAAAAGAACAACAAGCAGAAGTTGATATAGGTTATTCTGGAGACAAATCAATGAAAGGAATGAAGGAAGACCAGCCATCCTAACATTTATCTCTAGTAACGTCACCTCTGACGACTCTGCAATGTTGTGTCTGTTTGTCTACAAGTGAAACCTTCCAAAGCCTATCATACCAGTATTGAATAGTTAACAATCACTTCTCCATAATAATGCAATCTCCATCCTGGCTGCTACCAGGAAAGAGATTATTGATGGCTTGAACAAAATATAATTATTTACTCAAAATAACTATAGCAAGGTGAAGCCTGGATTTTAAACCACTGTAATATAGAAATCATGTAGAACACATCATCCCAAAACTTGTTTACTGCCTGACACT